CACAGGTGGGCCTTCTGCCCTGCCATGGTCCACCCAACAGAAGACGTAACAACTCACTGTTCCCAAGCTTTACATATCTCAGTCCAGACACACAAAGAGAGACTGATTTGACTTTTTCAGGCCCAAATCAAATACGTTTCAGTGAAGGACTCATTGGTCAGCTTTCCCCTTACACTGATCAGCTGTAGCTGGTGTCTGGCACATTGTAATATGGCTACTTCCACTGCAACCATACAGGTGAGGGGCACTCAGGTGACTCTTGACCAAAGGACTGTGTGCAAGCCATGCCATGGGTGCCATGTTGTGAGTATCCAAAGATCTTATAAGTATAATGTTTTACAACACCTCAATGAACAGTGTCCTTTATTAAAAAGACTAGGTATTAGGAGGGGAAAGGAGAAGTGTTCAATAACCAAAAACAGAGCCAAATCTATGGTTTTAAAACTTGCAGACAGATCTCTTTAATCTTTAACTTTATCTTTCCTGTATCCTTAGTCTTTAACATTATGACTTTGACCTATCTCACTTACAGAGAAATTACAAAGAGGTAGATGTTGAGTTAGCTAAAAATTAAAGATTTTTCTGAGATTACCCAATCTTGTTGTTAATAAATTTGCTGTCTGTGTCCATATGTAACAGTCGGTGGCTGAAATGTTCACTGATGAGACACAAGGCAGGGCAGACTTGGTAGATTCAACTCCATTCTTCCTCATCATCCCTCCCATCTTCTCGCCTCCTCTCCATCTCCCCCTCCTGCCTAGGAGTGGACAGGACTGCAAGAAGAGGGCTCATTGTGTAAAGTAGTCCAAGGACATCTCACTAGGAATAATGGAATGGAATTCAGCAAGGGACAATTTATGCTGAATTATAAGAGAAATTTCCTAACAGCAAGATCTATTAGACTGGAGAATAAGCTCCCAAGGGAAGTAAGTGCCATTGCTGGAGTCATTTAAGCTCTGGCTCAGGTCCATAAGTACAAATAAATTTGGTTGTCTCATTTTATTCTCCATTTGTGTGGAATCTGCATCACCACTGAAAAGTTAGGTAGAAAAGACATCAAATAATTGGCTTAAGGGAGGTCTGGCAAACTGGAAAGGATTTATCCCTCATTTTCCTGAAGAGATATGTCTCTTCAGGAAAATGAGAAACTGAAAAAAAAAGAGAAAAAAATGCTTTACCAAATATATATTTGGTAGCCCTTGTAAAGTCTCATCAATTAATTTTAGGTTATTTCAGCAGGTGTCTCTGATGTCTTCAATATGTGGGCCCTACGGCTCACTTTCCCTGACCGTACCACTTCCGGTGATGTCCAAAGGTCAACAAGCTGAGAAAGTGAGCTGAGAAAGAACTGAGTCTCTGATCCTGGCTGGTGATGTCCCACCAAAAGTACTGCCACTCTGAAAGTCAGAGTCCCCACCTTGTGCTGTCTCTCTCCGAAGGCCATGACCTTTGCCTCCATCTCTTGGAAATGGGTAGAGACAACACATCCAGAATATGGAGTCAGGAAATGTTCTCATTAATTATCACTCAGGTTATGATTTTTTATGAAATGACACACATAATGCTTATCTCTTAAGCATTTTAACATAATGGGAAATATTTTCAGAGCTTTTATACATTAGCAAACCTCCTAGATAATTTAAGGCAGTCTAGTCTACCAGTTAACCAGTTAAATCTACTGGGCACCCAAAAGGTAAAAGAACTTACCAACGTGGAGAAATGGAGGTGGATCTGCCTCATTCATTTGCAGCTTTCTACACATTTAACAAACTTTCACCAGGAAGGTAAAATATACTCATGTAACCATATTCTTGAATATTGGAAAATTCCTTCTGTAGAATTTTTACCTATTTGTTTCTTAGGATTCCTGGAAGTGTCAGAAACACAGGGAGATGAAGAAAAAACCAGCTACCTTTCTCATTCATCAGAGCTCTTATTCTAGAATTGTGCTTTTGCTAAGTGTTTTTATTGATTAGGACACCAGTTTGTAAGCATGGGCAGAAATCCAAAATAATAGTGGGGTAAGCAAGACAAATATTTCTCCCATGTAAGTTTCTATGTTGATGTGGCTGCTCTAAATGTGGAATTATCAGGAGCAGGCTCCACCTTGTTGTTTTATGTCCCCAGAGTGGCCGGCATGGTCCACCCTTCATGACCTGGCCCCATGGTTCACACCTTCTAGCTACCATTTCTGTGTTCCGGAGCTGGAAGGGAGAACAACCAGAAGGCCATACACTACTCCTGCCATATTCCTTTGGTCAGAGCTACTGGATATGGCCATACCTAGCTGAAAAGTAGACTGGTAGGCAGCATAATTTTTATTCTGTATAACCGTGTGCCTAACCAAAAATTCAATTACTATAAAACAAAGGGACACTTCCCAGTCTTCCAACGGGTTATGGAGACACCATTTTTGTTTGTTTGTTTGTTTGTTTATGTTCTCTGGAACCATCAGTTGGTAGGGTGGCTAAAACCATATTTTATAATATTTCTAACATAACTTAGTGGGGGAAAGGTATTAAATCATCAATTGCCACTTTTTATAACATTAAATAAGGTAGTTTTATCCCAGAAAACCAGAATTCTTCATGCTCATGGATTGCCAGACCAATTCTTTCAGTGTTTTGTAATGATATTCTCAGATAAAAATGTGCATCCGGTGCCTTGGCCATTTAGATACAGCTTTCCTTTCTGTATTTTACAACTTCTGTTTCAGGAGTGAGAGCTGGGATTTAACCAAGGAAGTACAAATATAATAGGAAGTACAAATCTGGCTTTCTAATAGTGGGTCTGCAGCTGCCGGAACTGTAAATACATCTGTTTTCGAGCTGTTTGGTACAACAAAGTATCCATTATGATGATTTGACATAAATTCTAGCATCTCCTTCTGGGGCTGGCAGATCAGTTACAAAAACTCAGGTAACTGAAGTTATAAATTTGCTAAGCTTCAGTTAAATGAAATTTCATTTAAAAATATAGTTTCCTACTTTTTCGTTATTTAAACAAGTGTATTGAAGTCAACAATATCTTAATTACAGGGATAAATGGTAGGTGTATTGGAGACATGGATTATTGATGGACTCACTACAAAATACCCAACATTATTTCCCAATAATCACATAGTAACTGCCTGGTAATTCCATTAAGCACAATGGTAACTGTTGCACATAGGACAACATGGCAAATTGCGGGAGTCACTGCTTTAAAATCTCCTCACAAAAGGAATGCATCCCCCAAGCTTGTTAGTGACAGAAGAGTGAGCATGAGGAAATAGTGAACTACACTCAAACCAGAAGTGACCTCGTAAAAGTGCTCGATGGCTCTAATCAGCATTTTTTTAATTTTAATAAAATACAGATTGATAGTGCTGTAGAGAAAAGATTGGCTTCCAGAAGACTGTATTTAAGGATTATTATTATCCCCAAGGGCCCCAGCACTGTGTTGGGGTAGAAAGCTGACGAGTATGAAATCATGCACAACTGGGTTCAGATCCCAACTCCAACTTAGCAGCTATGTGAGTGAACCCCTCTGGGCACGTGAGAGGGGGATAATAATACCTAGAGTGCTATGAAGTTTCAACTGATAACAAATGTGCAGCATCCATCACATGGCAATTATTTCTAATACATGTAAATGTACCCTATATCTTATTGACAATTTGTTAATGTTAAACAGTAGTATCTTTAATTCTTACAGCCAAGGAGTTGTCCATAGGAGTTGCATAACAATTGTTATGATTTTGCCCAACGAGATGTTAAGCAGGAATTAATCTTTTCATCAAAAGGTGTTTAAAATATTGCTCCCATTACCACAATACACAGATTCTGGGGGAAAACAAAGCAGGGAGAATCGGCAGAACCAAATACCGAGAGGGAGAGCTTCAGGGCTGGCCAAATGGAGGGAAGGGAAGAAAAGGTCTGTAGAGACTTATTTATTGGGGATTGCAAATTTCTGCTGTTGCAGAGCCCACAGCAATTGACAAACAGTGAGGTGGAAGCAGGAATCCAAGGCTGGAACTGGGATGAGGGGCTCATTAAGGTGTCTACTAAAGTGAGGGCAATTAAAGGGTTCTGGTTGGGATGGAAGAGGTTATCATGACCTTAGTCTTGCTGGCTTAGGATTCTCACAATCATGTGGTCAGAATAATGTTAGAGTCCCATTGGAATGTTTTTATGGTTTGTTGGCTATAATCATGATGAAGTCTTATGTATAAAAAATATACATGTTTCTAATTCCAGCAAGGGGGTTCAGTTATTCTTGATATATCCTGCTAGAGTCTGAATGTTTGTATCTCCTCCCTAAATTCATTTGTTGAAATTCTAACTCCCAAGGATAGTATTTGGAGCTGGGGCCTTTGGCAGGTGATTAGGTCATGAGGGAGGAGCCCTCATGAATGGGATTAATGTCCTTATAAGAGAGGTCTAGAGAGCTCTCTCACCCCTTCCACCATGTGAGGACACAGCAAGAAGTCTGTGACCCAGAAAAGGGCCCTGACCCACCAACTATACTGGCATCCTGATCTCAGATTTCTAGCCTCCAGACTGTGAAATAAATTTCTGTAGTGTATAAACCACCCAATCTGTGGGACTTTGTTATAGCAGCCTGGATGGACTAAGACAAATCCTTTTCCTATTTTTATAAAGTACAAAGTTGAGAAAGTCCTCCAAGATGGGAAAGCTAGGATGGTACCTCCTTTTGCAGCTTTTTCCTTAACTGGTCTTGTTTCCATTGGAATGTGTTCTGTGGAATGAGAAGCACTATGCTAGCAACCACAGGCCCCCAAATGCAGGGGACAAAAGTTCTCCCTGCTGGTTAGGGGAGATGGTGTAAGCATAAATTACTAAAATACTAGGAAGGATTTGTCACCATTTCCTTTTCCCAAAGTGTCTCTCTTACCATATTATCCTGGCCAATAGCATTATCATCCTTATCATTTTTCCAGCAGGATTGAGGGAATTCCCACGCAACTGGCTCAGCTCCCATTCCCTCATAACCAAGGACACGTCAAGTCTGGTTGTTTTTACCTTCTTCAAATATCTTGCATCTGTTCCTTTTTGTTCCCATTGCCGAGTCTTTAGTTCAGGGAGAAACCACCCTCACATATCTCGGTGACTCCTTCAGCAGCTGACTGGCCTCCATGCCTCCCGTTTTAACCAACTCCAACAACTTATCCAGCATCGCCTTTATAAGAGGTAAGTCACATCATGATTTTCCCCAGTTAACACCCTTCAGTCAGCATGGCTTAGGAGCCCTGGATCATCTGACCTCTGGGCTTGCAAGTTAAGTCTTTGCTGTCTGGGCTGCAGCCTAGACCTGCCATTCATGGAAAGTCTATTTGTCTCTCTGTCTCTCTCTTGCCTCTAAGCCTTCGTACATGTGGTTACATCCTGGATAATTCTAACAAATGTTTTTTGCTCTCATCTTATAAGTGGCTTCTTCTGGAACTGTACTCGACTCCTGCAATATTAGGTTAGGACCCTCCCATACAATCCTTTTGTATTTTTTTATTTAGCCTAATTATCGCCCCTAACTCTCTCTACAACAATTATCCCATTATGCAGGTGCTCTCATTGGCTAGACTGTATGCTCATAGAGTCAAGTGCTATGGTCATTTCCAATATTTACCATCACCTAGCACAGGGCATTGCCAATAATCACGATGGTTGAATGAATGGGTGAATGGGAGCAGATGCATTGGCAGTGTCCTAAGAGCAATGTGGATGAAATGCTAACTCAGCATAAGGATGACTATTTCCTACTGGGGGTGAGGAGGGGTGGGCATGTGGTGCCTCATGGGTAGGATGGGGGGGCAAACCCAGAGGTTTCAGTGAAATAGGAAGGGCGCGTTCAGTGGTCAGTCAGGAATGTGGAGATAGACAAGAGGTCTAGACTTGTGATGTCAGCACTTATTACCCCTGGAGGGTAATAATGCTGCAGAGTAAGTGAAGTATTCATGGCAGAGGGGAAGCGGGTCAACATCTAGTTGCGAAATACCTAAATTCATCAAGTGGGAGGGGAGAGCGTGCAGAAGAGAAGACAAGAACTGATAGTAAAAAGTAAGAGACATGTGCGTGTCGTTGAAGCCAAGGGAAGAGGAGTGGTGAAGAATTCAGAACATACTATCAGTACAGTGATCAGAAAACAGAGGGAGAAATACTGGAGGGGTAAAAGAGAGCGGGGGGAGCGGTGGGGATAAAAATACGGATTCATTTTGAGATGGAGGGAAGGCTAGTACTATCTTAATATAGCACACCTTTTCTTTCTGTAAAGTAGGAAGTAAAATTATTTGACAAAGTTCAAGTTTGAGGGGAGTGTACAAGGCTCTGAGAAGTTACCAGAAGTGTTGATGGGGAGGCCATGGAGCTGAGTGTCCTGTTGATGACCAGCAGTAGACCCCATGGAGGCGGACTGCATCAGCTACGGCAGAGCCATTTGCATGGCTCGCCAGCAGGTCACTGGTCCTGGTGGTTGAGGGGACAATCCAGGGGCTGGTCAGCCTGAGTTAGGGCAGGTCCAGGAGGCCAGGCCCATAGCCCAAAGGGGTTTGCTCAAGAGCCACAACTTTATATAACAATGTACCCATGTGCTAGTGGGTGAGGACAAAAGAGTTCTAGGAAAAAGTATTACTTAATGTTTAAATCAAAATAATGAGGTATTCTTCTATTTTCAACATTTTTTATTAATGTGGGCTGGTTCATTTCCACAACTGTTTGCCTTCTTAGAGAAAGCATCATTCCTGTTGTAATTCTTCCTGTTACTGGTTTGTATTCATCTGCCTCGCTGTGCTATCAGTATGTGTTGATAATGTGCATTTTATAAGTCTTTCAGCAATGTATGTTGGTTCTTCTGGTCTCCAAGGTATTATACTTAAATGTGATATGTTAACTATGCAACTCAATTTTATTCCTATGGAAAACACGTCCGATACACATTTCCTTGCAATTTAATGTTCTCGAAGCATATTTGTGACCCAGCGTGCTTCTTTATGTTGACATATTGTTCATCGAGTTTCATTAGTCAGATGATATGTCACATCACATATGGAACATGAGGAAAAGTGACATTAATGACAATCTGGTGACATTCAGTACTCTGCAACACATCAGGTTAAAAATAAAGCAGGAAAAAAGGTCTTTCTTATTTTCAGTAAGGTCTTCCTTTTTTCTTTTCTTTCTTTTTTTTTTTTTACTCTTGAAAGAGCTGCTATGTGTTTGGATCAGGCAGTGATGATTATTGGGGAGGTTTTGTGGGTAACTGGTGATGTAGATATCAAGACCCCTGCATTTGTAGGGGAAGAGAAGGGGGATTTCTGCTGACGTGTTCACTGCTTCTCAGACCTCGAGGTGTCCAAACCACTCGAGGATGACACCTCATCCTGTGTGTGTCAGCTTGTCTGGCACTCGGCTTAACAGAGGGCTGGTGCCACGAGAGGTAGGGCCACCCCAGACCAGAGCAAGGTTGTTCCACTGAGCACAAGCAAGGAAGACAAGCGTGAGTTCACAAAGAAATCCCTGGCACATGGAGTATGGGCTTTCTTTAATGTGAGGGCTCCAGTCTCTGGGATCAAGTGAAGCAAACCAACAAAGCATGGAGACTTCAGCTGCGGGCTACCCAGTCCCAGAGTCAGAGTGCGGGGAAGTAAAGGACTTCTGGAACATCTTCCTGGAGAGGACATTCAGTTCAGTACAGAGACCCCAGACTCTGGGGACCCCGTGGGAAAGAGCTGCCCCTGAATGAATGAATGAATGAATGCACTATCATCCAGAGGATTTCTGTGTAAAAGAACATGACATCTGGCTAACTGGAGATTGGAAAGTGAGTGAAAAGAATAGAACATTATATTCTGAATGTAAGTCAACCCCTTAATTTTCAGGTTGTGTTTAAGAAAATGCAGAAGTAAATTGAGCTCTGCATTTAAAATGCAGGTATACTGTAATTTTCTACTTTTTAAATCCATGTACCTCATTCTGATACTGTATTTATATTCATCACAATGTGGTTTGGACAGCCTTTAAACAACTGGCGGTTTGGATTTCTGAATGCTGCTTTGAAGAAGCAGGTTCTTGGTTGTGTTTACTGCTCTTGACTACTGCCAAGGAAACGCTAACATGCTCCCCACACCCCTCTGCTCCTTCTTGGCGGCTGCGTCGTCTCCATCGTTTCCTCCACCTTCTCATAGGAGATGGTGATAAATGAATACTTGGATTTTTCTTCACTAGCCATGGATACCGACAGATAGGTCCACTTTATACATTCGGTTGTAGCTGCCAACCTCTGTTTTCCCCTTTTCTTAGAGATTAGAGACTTGAGATGAAGAGGGACAGGAATCAAATCATAACCTGGAGGTCCCTGCGCCTTCGTGAAATTGGTGCTTGTGTCAAGGCCCTGTGGTTTGTCACTAATGCTTTGGTTCCATTTTGAATCTCTATAGTCACGTGCAAGTCATCTGGGGGGAGTTAGTTCAAAATCATGCTTGTCTCTTTACATTTTGTTTGTTTGTTTAACATCTGCTTCTTGTTGACAGCCTCTTTGATGGCTACAGACACCACAAGAACAATAAAAACGGTTTTTAGGGGGAAAACTTAGGCCACAATAATATGTAATTTAATTGATTATAAGCAGAGAAATTATAGACTCAAAACAAATACTAAGCTAGAAAAAATAATATTGTGTACTTCTGTGGTTTGTGCTATTCCATAGCTGAGTTCGAGCGTTGCATTATCAGAACCTCTGAGTCGTCCTCCCCCGGGTATGCTTGTTCTCTAGGGTCGCCGTAACAAATTACCACAACCTGGGGGGTAAAACGCCGGACAGAGTTCAGGAGGCTGGAAGTCTGCATCAGTGTTATGAGGGCCATGCTCCTGCAGGAGAGAATCCTTGCTTTGTCTTCCGGACGCTTGCCGGTAATCCTTGGCATGCAGGGGCTTGTGCTGCCTCCCGTCCGATCGTCCTTTCCTTGTCATGTGGCGTTCGTTCCCCGTGTGTCTCTGTCTTCCTGTAGGGACACCAGTCACACTGCAATCAGGGTCCACCCCACTCCAGTGGGACCTCATCTTAACTAACTACCTCTGCAATGACTCTATTTCCAAGTAAGGTCACATTCTGAGGCTTGGGGGTCAGGATAGGGGGACACGATTCAGTCCACGGCACTGAGTGCTCTGCTCGTCCATCCCTATGAGCAACAGACCTAGGAGAGAGCAGGTTCCACTTACCCTACGACATGCAAGCTCTCACTGAGCCTGGCAGGTATCCACATCTGCCACAGTTCTTGATGGACCCTAGGGTCCACTGGTGTCAAGATCTTTTGATTTCCAAAATAACCGAAGTCACTGAGTTCAGAAGAGTTTATGGAAAACTAATAAGTGCATAGTGGATAGACTTGTTTATAAGTTTACAAAACAGTTAGACTAGACATGCAGGTAAAGACTCACTTATCCTCAAACCTGGGGGCAAGTCCTATTCATTCCCTGTCCTTTTCTCCTTCGCCATGGGCAGGTGGAGGCTGTCCAGGTCTCCCGCTTCCTGGCCTCTCCTACACCGACTGCGCAGCCTCCCCCACTCCTGCTTGCTTCTTGGTGCTGGCTAGGAGGGGGGGACCTAGAAACTGGTTGCGAACAATGTTCCCACCCTAACTACCTCTTCTTTCTGCCATCCTGACTCTTCCCTTTCATCCAGCTATACCTTTCTACTTTGGGCAATGTCAAAACCATGCTGACTGCAGAACAGGGGACATGTGCTGACCTTCCCCTCACCAGGACCACAGGTTCTGTTCACTTAGAGCTAGTGTTCAGCGTTCCTTCCAAGAAAACTAAATAAAACACAAGCAAAGCATAAAACAAAACAACAACCAGATAAATTTATTTATTTATTTTTAAGATTTTTATTTATTTATTTGACAGAGAGAGACACAGTGAGAGAGGGAACACAAGCAGGAGGAGTGGGAGAGGGAGAAGCAGGCTTCCTGCCAAGCAGGGAGCTTAACATGGGGCTCGATCCCAGGACCCTGAGACCATGACCTGAGCCAAAGGCAGACGCTCAACGACTGAGCCACCCAAACGCCCCATATTTTTTTTTAAGATTTATTTATTTATTTGAGAAAGAATCTTCAAGCAAACTCCCTGCTGAATGTGGTGACCTAGATGGGGCTTGATCCCAGGGCCCCAAGATCGTGACCTAAAGTGAAATCAAGAGC